TTGCTATTAGTTTTACTGGAAAAATATACGCCTTTATGAAGATTTCAATAAACATTTTCCTTAATGTCAAATCTCAAACGGATAATCATTAAACACTAATATCAATATTTAAAAAAGTTAAAAGGAGCTGATGAGTTTCATATTAGTTTCGTTTGCCATCAAAAAAGAGAGACAAAAAAACAGTGTACACAATACGTTTTCTCAGAATTACGTACGTGTAATTAGCTTCAACACCCAGACTCTGATGGCAAAAAATGTTTTATAGGTGTTCAGCATCGGATGCGGTCGCTATTAGGAGGTTTGTTAGGATTATTGTGTGAAGAAATCACTTTCAGTTATGAATTTGTCGTATTTTTTTTTTTTTGTAAAATATCTTGTTTCTAAATCTCTTTTCTTTACTCTTTAGATTTGTTGAGTTTCATTCCCAGAGTTTTTTCTCATAACTGGCCAATCAACGCTATGATTTGTTGGATAATGTTTCTCATACCCTCTTGTGAAAGTGATATACACTATCACTTTGGCTATAGTTTATTCTAGTATGGCATTTCACTGATTCTTCCATTCATTTAGTATGCCTATGTATTATTACCGTCATTTTCCTCTTAAATCTTGTTTTTGTACTCACTTTTAATTCTGCTAAGTTATCAATAATTCCTACTAGATTCTGCAAGCGGATACAATATAATTTTTCAGATACACCACGAAACTTCCGTAAAAAAAAAAATGAAAAATACTCATACTAATAAGAGCAGATAGAATCTCAATTAACACGTTCAAAATAACCTCGTGTGCAGCGGGTGTGAGGTTAACCCGAGTTCGTCCCGAGTGTGAAAAGTAGCAATGAGAACGACCGCAAAAAGACCTTTTGTATGGTTTTACCAAAGCACAAAGTAAGGGTCGTTTACGAAATGCAAGTCCGCAGTTATTTAGGAAATAATTTCTACTTGGCAATCCGCATCGCCCTTGAATCCTGGACTTCTGTTAAAGGTTTGAATGTGAATTATCTTATTTTCCAATATACTTGCATTGATCGCATTAACTCGTGATTTTTTCGTTGTATAGACCTCCATCGCATATTCGCTTTTGTATTATTTTTTCGTTAAGGAGGAAAAACAAATACTGGTAATTTTATGTCTCTCTCTCTATCTATCTATCTGTCTCCCTCTCTCATTAAGGTAGAATTATTTTACTATTCAGTTATGAAATACCTCGAATAATTAGATTTTACTTAAATACGACGGTGATAGGTTAGGTAAGATGATACTCTGGTAGTTGATGACTTTATTTATAGATGTGTAGCGAGGGAAGCTATATCGATGGCCTAGATGATGTTATATATATTTATTACGAATACTGTTCTGTCAATGACTTCCAGTCAGCAGTATTTAGGCATATCCGGTTGGCTGGTGTTGGGGATACTGGGCCTCTCCCTCGTAGCTGACCTCGGCCACAAAGCCGGAGTCGCCGTCCACGGTGTAAGCGACCTGCTGCAGGCGGCCGTCGGGAAGCTTGACGAAGTAGTCGCCCTGAGTGTGGGCGCCGTCTCGAGCCTCCTGGTGGCCGAAGTCGTTGCCAGATGGCTCGTCCTTCACCTCGTAGTTGAACGAGTACTTGGCTGGTTCCTTTAAGAAGGAAAGCAAACATGGAATCGAGAAGAAAGTAATTTCTTCCGTCCGTCTGGCATAAAACTTAAATTAGACTACAGAAGACTAAATACAAGACTAACCTCGTGGCTAGGATAACCAGTCTCGGGCAGAGCGAGGACAACGGCCGCGAGGGAAAACACGACGAAGACCTGCAATAGATGAATAATGTTGCTTTAAATGGTTATTGCAGACATGTATATCCGACAGACGTATGCGTATCTGTTATAAGCCTCTGCGTGCTAGTCTGTCAGATATTTTTGCGGATGACAAAAGAATCACTGATATCAGAAGAGTCTGTTATATCATATATCGCTATGGTATTATGGCTAACATCTAATAAATCTAACATCTAATACTGAAATGTATAGATTGACATATATTTATACATGTATGTATTGATGTACGCATGCAAATATGAAAAAACGAAATGAATTCAAAATGAAAATTAGAATTATATGTAAATTATTAAAATCTACTTATTTTTAATCAAAAATATTCTCAAAACCAGATGAAATATTTAGATGTAAATAAACCTATTCCATCAAATCAATCACAACCTGAAAAGCAGCTAAAAAAAAAAGTCAAGTGGAATACCTTGAAAACCATGTTGAAGTTTCTTGTGTGACTGATGGTTTAAGCAAATTTCCTCGTTATATACTTAAGGGGCGACCTTCCTAAGGGGTTTGCGCCTCCGCCCACAATGCACTTCCTTGCCTCTCTTCCTTTCGTTACGCCATACATAGGTAGTTTTGTTGCGTAATTAAATGTTCTTAGCTTTCCAAATTACCATATTACAATACACACACACACACACATGTATATGTATGTGTGTGTGTTTGTATATATATATATGTGTGTGTGTGTGTGTGTGTGTATTTACATTTATATGTATATTTGTTTATATATATTTATCTATATATATTTACTTATATACTTATATACACATATGTGTGTATACAGATATGTATACATATTTATGTATAAGATATATATAAATATTGTGTGTATATATATTCCGTGTGTGTGTACATACATACATATATATATACATATATATGTGTGTATAAATATATATATATATATATATATATACATATATATGTATGTGTGTATCTATACATATTTATATATATATATATACATATGTGTAGATACTATACATGTGTATATGTATGTGTACATATGTATATATATGCGTGTGTCTGTGTACATACATATATATACTCATATGTATATGTATGTATATATATGTATAGTAAATACACACATATATGTGTGCGTGCGTGTGTGTATGTGTGTGTGAGTGTATATGTGTATGAGTGTGTGTGTGTTTTTGTGTGCATATATATATATATATATGTGTGTGTGTGTGTGTGTGTGTGTGTGTGTGTGTGTGTGCGTATATGTATATACATATATATTATAAAATATATGTATATATTTATGTACATATATGTGTGTGTGTGTGTGTGTACATTTATGAAAATATATTAAAAGTGTGTATACAAGCCAGGCCAAAACAAATAACAGAGATGATAAGAAGCAAAAAAACAAGATTAATAAAACTAGCTTGATGAACGGTAAAGCAATGCCATTTTCGATAATCCAGCTGGATTTCGATTCTTTTGCTATACTTTTCTGATATACTTGATTGCTTTTCATTCCAGATTCACACACACACATACAAAACACACACATAAACACACATATACAGACACACACACACACTCACTCACTCACACATATAGACACATACACACACACACACTCACTCATACATGCATACATACACACACATAAACACACATACATATACACGCACACACACACAACCACAAACATATTTAGAGGTGTAGGTAGACACATAATCGTACAGGCTAATCTTCATTGTTTTGCACATTTTATACATTCCACTCCACATGTAGTAGAAATCATGGTAAGAATTTTAATTCCCTTCGTATTTTCTCGGTCCATTGTCCATACGTCATAAGTGTGTTCCGTAAGCAATAATATTAGTAATGTTTTTTATCAGCTTAAGCAAGGGCGAAACTAGACTCTTTAATTCTGATTTGCTATTAGTTTTACTGGAAAAAATATAAGCCTTTATGAAGATTTCAATAAACATTTTCCTTAATGTCAAATCTCAAACGGATAATCATTAAACACTAATATCAATATTTAAAAAAGTAAATAGGAGCTGATGAGTTTCATATTAGTTTCGTTTGCCATTAAAAAAGAGAGACAAAAAACAGTGTACACAATACGTTTTCTCAGAATTACGTACGTGTAATTAGCTTCAACACCCAGACTCTGATGGCAAAAAATGTTTTATAGGTGTTCAGCATCGGATGCGGTCGCTATTAGGAGGTTTGTTAGGATTATTGTGTGAAGAAATCACTTTCAGTTATGAATTTGTCGTAATTTTTTTTTTTTTTTTTTTGTAAAATATCTTGTTTCTAAATCTCTTTTCTTTACTCTTTAGATTTGTTGAGTTTCATTCCCAGAGTTTTTTCTCATAACTGGCCAATCAACACTATGATTTGTTGGATAATGTTTCTCATACCTTTTGTGAAAGTGATATACACTATCACTTTGGCTATAGTTTATTCTAGTATGGCATTTCACTGATTCTTCCATTCATTTAGTATGCCTATGTATTATTACCATCGTCTTCCTCTTAAATTTTGTTTTTGTACTTTTAATTCTGCTAAGTTACCAATAATTCCTACTAGATTCCGCAAGCGCATACAATATAATTTTTCAGATACACCACGAAACTTCCGTAAAAAAAAAAAAAAAAAAAAAAAAAATACTCATACTAATAAGAGCCTTTATAAACACGTTCAAAATAACCTCGTGTGCAGCGGGTGTGAGGTTAACCCGAGTTCGTCCGAGTGTGAAAAGTAGCAATGAGAACGACCGCAAAAAGACCTTTTGTATGGTTTTACCAAAGCACAAGTAAGGGTCGTTTACGAAATGCAAGTCCGCAGTTATTTAGGAAATAATCCTGGACTTCTGTTAAAGGTTTCAATGTGAATTATCTTATTTTCCAATATACTTGCATTGATCGCATTAACTCGTGATTTTTTCGTTGTATAGACCTCCATCGCATATTCGCTTTTTGTATTATTTTTTCGTTAAGGAGGAAAAACAAATACTGGTAATTTTATGTCTCTTTCTCTATCTATCTATCTGTCTGCCTCTCTCATTAAGGTAGAATTATTTTACTATTCAGTTATGAAATACCTCGAATAATTAGATTTTACTTAAATACGACGGTGATAGGTTAGGTAAGATGATACTCTGGTAGTTGATGACTTTATTTATAGATGTGTAGCGAGGGAAGCTATATCG